GAGGCAGAGGGCGCAGTGAGCTGAGATCGCACCATTGCACTCTAGCCCGGGCAACAGTGCGAGACTCTGTCTTTGAAAAAAAAAAAAAAAAAAAAAGACACGAGAATGCACAGAAAAAGTCAGTCCCATCCAAAACAGGGTGAGATACACAATGTATCTGTCCATAAAGAAAAACTTATATTTCTGGTCTTCAATGCTTGTTGGGGGCTCCCTGACTTCTATAGCACTAGAGAGATCACTCTGTCCCCAACCTGAGGGTTCAGTTCCCAGGGCTCTGGGTACTTACCATCTTCTGGAGTTCATCAGCAGATTCTTGGACCCGCTCCCGGTCATTACTGTCCACCACAAAGATGAGGCCCTGGGCAAGAAGGAAGAAAGGAGAAGCAATCACTCCTGCCTGGGACATACTGTAGTGTGGCCCTTTCTCTTCTCTTGCCGTCTGTAATTGTGTCAATCCTTCTCATCTAGTAAACGCTACAGAAGTTTACAGAACTCCATAGAAGCTCTACAGAAGTCCCAGCACAAACTAGAGACCCCACCGCAAAGAAGTAGTAGTTTATCTAAAGAAGTGCAAGGAAATAAAGACATGTGATGAGGGCTAAATCAGGCAGCCTGGCCCCAGAATCCTGCTTCTAAAGAGAAGTTCAAGCTGGTGAAGACTAAGGTGAGTTCTGAAGAGTGAGTAGAGGGTAGCCAAACAGAGCGGGTAGAAGCGGGGAAGGGTTTTCTCCTTGGCCTGGGGGCCCAGCCCAGGCCAACAATTCTGTTCTCCCAGCCCTAACACCTTTTCCCGTGGGGTTAGAGTCCCCTCCCAACACTCCACCTGAGTGTTCTGGAAGTAGTGCCGCCACAGAGGCCGAATCTTGTCCTGGCCTCCCACGTCCCAGACTGTGAAACAGATGTTCTTATATTCCACTGTTTCTACATTGAAGCCTGCAGATAATTGGGAAAAAAAAATATGAGAAAAACTCCTGAAAGGAAGGAACTCACTGAAACTACTTAGATCTCAGCAGGGACACAAAACCAGAAGGCAATG